ACCTTATAAAATATATTAGAGAAGCGACTTCCAACAACTACCTCATTGTTCTCCTTGGTGACTTCAATGCTGACATGAACAATCCAAAGCTCCACTCACAGGATAAAAATCTTTTCTCTATGCTGAGTAATGCTCACCTGTTTGATACGTTTACAGTCAAATATGATCAGTTTCGCGCTGACCATCCTACACATCGCTCTACAAAATCGAATTCTCGAATCAACTTCATTTGGTCATCGGGTGACATGATTTCCAACTTCTCTCATTGTGATATTGAAGATGTTCTGCCCTCTGTATTAGATCACTCCATTGTCGTTCTCAAAATTGATAACTTCCTCGCTGCTAAAAGTAATAAAAGGAATATTTCTGCAAAAATTGTCTTTGACTACGAAAAAATGTCAGATAACAAATGGCGTGATTTTAGCATCAAAACGGATGCATTAGCCAATGGATGTCAACTTCGTGTTCTTAATAACAGAACGGTTTTTAACCAAAAATTACTTAACCGATACTGGGATCTTCTTCAAGAATATATCATGAAAGCGGTGGATACTATTATTCCCTCTCACAAGTCAAAAGGTCAGCACACGATGAAAAGACTTCCATTATTATCAAAATTATTTAAACAACTTAAATTGTTATATAAATTTAAAAGGGCGACAAAGAAACTAAAACGCATCTCAAACTTTCCTACCAACTGGTCATCATTAATTGATAACTTTTATTCTATCATGAAGGACTCTGATATTATGCATATCGTGATATCACCTGATCCGTCTGCTGTTATCGTTGATTCGCTTTTTTCTCTCATTGATCAAGTACTTAACATCATACTCGTTAAAGCTAAACTTCATGAGCATGACTTCAAACTCAAATCAATTCAACAAGCTATTGAAAGAAGATTGGATAACTACCAATCGTCTCCCGCAAAAATGACCGACTCATTATTAGGACGTTTTAAAAGAACTATTACTATCGACTGGTGTATTGACAACGCTTCCTCAACATGTGACCTCTTAACAGATGAAGACGCAGTTAAACATGAAGTTGCCAGACATTTTCAAATGACTGCTGGTACCGCTCACGAACATGTTCCTATTGATGACGACTGGTTACCTTTTTATCAGCCACTACTGATATTGATCACATGATATACAGTGACATTATGAGTCCACCTTCAGCAGATGAGTGGTATGATATCATCGCACATCTTCCTAATGGAAAAGCACCTGGACCCTCCAAAGTTTCCAATGATATGCTTAAACATCTTGGTCTATTGACGAAAAAACTTCTATGGTATGTAATTTGTGGTTGTCTTTCGACCTCTTCACTACCACATCATTGGAATCATGCATTTGTTTACCCGATTCCAAAACCAAAACTGTGGAAATATGACTTGAATAATACGCGTCCCATCACTTTGCTTGAGTGTCCTCGGAAAGCCCTCATCAAACTCTTAAATCGC